CCCGCCGAGCCCGCTGCCAAGCCCACCAGACTTGCCAGAGAAAGCGTTGCCGAGGCTAACGCTGCTGCTGCCGGGGCTCATCCTACCAAAGCTGCCGCCGAGAGTTCCACTCACGATGTGGAGATGACGGCTTCCAGCTCAGGGGTCAGGGGAGCCAAACCGTCCTGAACCCCCAATGCAGCCTGAAGAAGAGTAAGCTAGCTGCATACTTGGGGGAGGTCAGTGAGTGGGCCGAACTCACTCTTGGTCAGCTCGGCGCCCGAGCTGCCACTCATACTATGGTGGTGAGTCCCCTTCTTTTTTCTTTTTCTTCCCCCCCTTTTTTTTTGCTGGTCTCCCTCTTAACTGGTTCTCCTTTTTGCAGGTGAACTCCACCATTCGCGCCTTGACCCTCCAATCAGATCGACATCTGAGGCGGGCTCTGGAGGCTGAGAAATCATCTCGCGCAACCCATACTGAGTTGAGGGCAGCTCGTTGTCAGGTTCACCGCTTGGAGAGCGACGCCTCAGCTCAAAAGAGTTTCATCGAGGTGTTAATGTCAAAGAAGGGAGAGCTGGCTCGAGATAAAGATAAGTTGAGGGCCGAAGTGAACGGTCTCAAGGTCGGTCAGGAGGCCTTAGGGCTCGAGGTGAGCAGCCTCAAGGCTGAGCGGGATGCACTGAGGCTCGAGGTACAAGGCCTCAAGGAGGCGAAGGGGAAACTGGAGCATGAAGTGGGGTACTTCCAGGAGGGCATAGGGAGAAGACTGCAATCTTCGAAGGTGCTCTCGAGGAGGCCAAGACCCAGACCGTCATTGACTACGTCAACTCTTCGAGATTCGACGATGTGATGACGGAGGCCTACCATAAGGGCTTTAAGCTCATTCGGTGGTTGATCAGGCACCTCTACCCCGAGCTGGACACGAGCGCCATTACTACTTCGTGGATTACTGAAGACATCGTGCGTCAGTCAAAAGATGACCCCGATTCCGAGGATGAAGGTCCCGAAGATGGAGCAGAGGATGCCGGTCCAGACACTGTCCCTGAGGGGGTCCTTGATAGAGGCGGCGAGCCCCCGAAGTAGTTTGCTCTTTATATTTGTAACTTAATCTTTTCCCTTTCTGAACTGTGAATGTACTATCCTGAGCCTTTGAGCTCGGGTAAAAATTCTTGTACCTGAACTCTCTTTTTAATGAAATATAGTTTCTTTCGAGTATCTCTGGGTGCAAAAGTACTTCTAAGTGTGATTGGACTCCGAGCTGGTCAATTTAATGTATAGGTTACCCGAGCTATCAAGCCACCGAGTTGGCGGTAAGGGTAACTGAGTGAAGTTGTGTTACCGAGTTGAGTAAGAGTAGCAAGGGTGTAGACACCATAGGGTTCATACCCGAGCTGTCTTTTCCTTAAGGGTTAGAGATAACCAGGTTTTTGTCAGTTTTCCATGCCGAAGTGGCAACTGGGGTTTTCTTGTGGCCCTTAGGTTTAGGGAGGGACCCATAGTCCGCTCTCCTTACCAT